GCCTATCATGACCACGTATTATCTGGGGGCCACTTAGCGTCTAGACCGACTTATGAGAAGATTCGCCAAAAGTACTGGTGGCCAACCATGAATCGGGACGTCCGTACTTGGTGTCAAGAATGCCAAGCCTGTCAACGTCGGAAAACAGCCCACAACCGGAACAAATTACCAACGGGACATGTACCAGTACAAAGACCGTTTGAACGTATTTCGGTTGACCTAGTTGAATATAAAGTAGAATCAGTTTCAGCCGCCGGGGTACGGTGCAAACATGTCCTATCCATGATGGACCACCTAACCCGATTCACCGTGTTGACTCCGATTCCCAACAAGTCAGCAATCACTGTCGCTCAGGCCATTATCGACCGCATCATCAGCATCTTTGGATCGCCTGAACTGTTGCATTCCGACCAAGGACCTGAATATGAGAACAGTGTAGCCCACCAATTACAGCGTATTCTGAACTATAAGAAAACCCGCACGACACCATACCGTCCGCAGGGTAATTCTGTCTCAGAACGAGTACATGCTACCATGCACGCAATGCTTGCCATGCATAGTTCCATGAACCGCGATAACTGGGCATCATTGCTGCCTTTTGTCCAACTGGCTTACAACACGTCATTTAGCTCCACCATGCATGAAACACCATTCTTTCTTATGTTTGGTCGGAAGCCACGACTACCAGTTGACATTATCCTCGGCATCCCTCATGTGGGAACAACAGCGAATACCGAGGAATTCTCTAAAACAACACAGGAAAATCTACAGGTTGCTTTTGAACTAGCGCGCCGTAACCTATCGGAACGCACAATAAAACAAGCTGCTAAGAACGCTAAACTGCGCCCTATCCCTGTGTTTAAACCTGGTGATCTAGTACTTGTGTACCGCCCATACCAGGATTCGGATGGACCAAATCCGAAATTATTGTTACCGTGGAGAGGACCTTACGTCATCTGCTCTAAATTATCACCGGTGGTATATAGAGTGAGACGCCAGAACGAAACTCGAGAAGTTTCGGTCCATTTAGCCCACATTAAACAGTACTACGCGAGGAAAACGCCACCTGCGCCAGACTTTGATAAGCTTTCCGAGTTTTTCTTAGGACGCCAGATTCCGTTGCCCGAGCTAGACCATCCCGACGAAGCTCAACCGAAAATTGAATCCTACGTCGTTGACAAAGTGGTAAGTCATAAGAGTGGTAAGGGGCCGAAAACCCCGTACAACTACAAGTATCGTTTGCGTCTTCGAGGCTACGGCCCTGAGTCAGACCTTGAATATAGAGCAGACGAAATTCCACAATGTCAAGAAATGATATCTGCCTACCGAATCCGTTGTGGTTTGGAAATCGTGCAGCCTAATAAATCGTCGTCTCGTGCCCCAGTTGAACAGGGAGACCCAAAATCACCCAGTAAAACAGGGAAACGAAAACGAAAACAGGCAGCTACTCCTCAAGAACCTTTAAGTCGGAAATTGGCAACGCAAAGTGGCTCTGAGCCACCGAACAAAACCAAGAAGCGACGAAGAAGGCTCCTAAAGGAGGGTCCATTACCCAAGTCGCGTTCTGCTACGACACAGAGTGATACTCAATTGCCCTGCCGTACTAGCAAACGAAAACGAACTAGGGCCCGGAAATTAAACGATTGATTTATTCTATCGTTCCTAACAGTTGCCATGTCTATCTTTTCCGAGACTTGAGACAAATTTATACTACTATTATTCTGTGTTATATATATATTTAGCACAGGACCAGTAGCCACGGTGGTTGGTTGTATCCAGTGGAAACAACCTATTTTTGAAGTGTTTGGGGAAGCACTCGCGAGGAGAATTGAATGATACCACCGCTGTCCCAAGATCTTATTTTTTTATGAATAGTCTTATTTTTTGATGAATAGATAAACTTGCCAGAGGGTCACCTCATTACAAGTTCATCCTCCATCAAGATCTTATTTTTTTGATGAATAGATAAACTTGCCAGAGGGTCACCTCATTACAAGTTCATCCCCCATCAATACCTTATTTGTGATGAATAGATAAACTTGCCAGAGGGTCACCTCATTACAAGTTCATCCCACCAAGATCTTATTTGTGATTAATAGATAAACTTGCCAGAGGGTCACCTCATTACAAGTTCATCCCATCAAGATCTTGGTTTTGATGAATAGATAAACTTGCCAGAGAGAGGGTCACCTCATTACAAGTAAGTTCATCCTCCATCAATATCTTATGTTTTGGTGAACAGATAAACTTGCCAGAGGGTCACCTCATTACAAGTTCATCCCCCATCAAGATCTTATTTTTCGATGATGAATAGAGAAAACTTGCTAGAGGGTCACCTCATTACAAGTTTATTCCTCATCACGATATTATTTTATGATGAAAAGACAGACTCGCCGGAGGGTCACCTCATTACGAGTCTATCTCTCATCAACCCCACAGCATTATCATGCGAAATATTTTAGTACACTAGCTGTCATCTTGATAGCCCAGTACCCACAATTTTTTTTTCTAGACTATACTAGTATGGACCACATCTATCACTACTCTGTCTGAAGACTCCGTGTTTTTTAACACGCGTTGTATGATAATCAGGCCGAGTTGATGATGTTGTACCAGGTAGGTTAACTCCAATACATGTGTCTCCATGAGCCACTCATGTCTATGGCCGCCAAAAGCACATCTTTAGCACAGATGGACTTGTGGCGCATAGAGGGGGGGGTGATGTGGAGGACACCTGTCAGGAGTATAACCAACCATGTGTGCACATACAAAGTGTAGGAAGATATGGCTCCCTCGGGGTATCTTGTCACAAGGAGAGTGACAGGAAATGCACCGTCGGAGATGGATATCTTCCGAAGTCCCTGGCCACTTGCCGAAAGTGGAAGCGGAGAGTCTTCGACTCTCCTCTCCCTCTGCCGCTATGGCCACTCTCTCTTTCTACCCTCTTCTCCTCGTTTACACATCACGAGAGGAAATAGCCTTCCCCTGGCAGTGGGATAATACTGCCACGGCACCGGCATCTGTCTCCGACAATAGCCAGTGTCCTCATAGATACGAAAAGAGTGACACTCTCGACCTCCGATCGGACTATAATAGCCGTCATTGGGATATTAGTTCAGTCGTAGAGGGGTGTGTTCTAGACCAACGGTTGCCTAAACCACGGCAGGCACAGCAATATGGTGTCAAGCCAATAATCGAACATCTCGAAGTGTTGCCTGCAGTGCACCCCTCCTTCGCTACATGATTTATTGAGTCTCATGGGTGAACGAGAATGTGAAATCATGGGAAGCAGATACCGTGCATGCTGCTCTAGTGGCCGTCCCTTGCTTTCAAGTAGAAACGGGAGCGAAGTCCCTCGACAAGGGAGTGGCCCTCGGACGCAAATAGTGACGACGCAATGTACATTTAATTCCCGTTGAACCCCATCGCCCCATTAAGGACACTCGTGAACTCTTGGGGTGCATACGCATACATAGACATACTTCATTGGCTGACGTACAACCACAGAAGCAATGCCGACACGCTTATGTCGTCGATTTTCTCGAGTGCGATTGCATTCAAGGCTTGCAGTGGATTCACGAGCTGAAACGAAAACGCCACCGAAACTGAAGTGCCCGGAATCATCACATCATCATGGCATTGGGCTCGTGATGGTGTGGGCCAGAGCTTTGCGCACCCGCAGCGACATGTTTTTCTACGCTTCCTTACAAGTGACCGGCGGACAGGACACCCCGAATTGATATTTTCATGGCGGACCCGCCGACCCCATCATTCAGTTCTTTCAGATGCCTGGCACCGTTGTTTGAATTGAACACCTCCATCGATATGAGAGTGTTGTAGCTTGATAAAGGGAAGACAGATGTCACCATCCAGAGACAATTAGCTTTTGAATTTTAGTTTAAAACGAAAACACCAACATCCAGGGCTACCACTTCCACTGATGAAAGCAACGGCGATCTCAACGATATCCGATGCCCAAGCCTGTTGCGCGGCTAGACACTTGCCAAACCTACTCCGTTGCCTCCGTCCCAAACCACCGCGAAAGGCATCCACCCGTCGATTCCCGAAACGTTCCTCTACAGATAGGAACACGAATTGGCCCTTAAAAAGCTTTCCTTGAACGTCTTAAATGTATTGCAAACTCTAACGATCACCATATTTTCAACCTTCCTGATAACAACATTACCCCCATGAAAACATTCGAGAGGAACAGCACTAGGTTGGATATCCCAGCGGCCGGTGCACTTTCGAGCAATCGCAATGGCAAATCTCTTTTTTAAGACACCAACATCAACTGGATCGAGGGTTCGTCTAGAGGGGTCCGATGGTAAAACCCACTGGGGAACATAAATGCATACGACTTCACAAGGTGGCTCCCTCCGTCTCTCGACGTTCAATGTGGCCAGGCTTTGGAAAGCATTCGTAATGTTTATGCACGGTATGAATAATGGGGAGAAATTTCGATTGGCACACCGGGATTCTCAATTTTGTCTGCCGGAGGCACCGGTCCAATGTGGCTCAACTGAACATATGGTGAGTATTTGAGTGGATCGTCACAAACTGCCCCCTTTATTTTACGAACCAGCACAATATTCGTACCCGCCTACGCGCCACTACCTAGGTAGAAGCGCGAGGACCCAATAATTCAGGCTTAACATAAGATAAATTTGGAACTTGGTAATAAGAAGGCATGCGGCTCAGTTATCAACCTCACACGCAAAGTTGGGGACATGGCCACAACAATAGATGCATGTACACGTAAGAATCCTATACAACAACCAATACAGACGACCATGTGTGACTCAACAGAAGAAACAAGAAACACATTCGGACAAAACAAGAGGTCTTTCGATGGTTTCGCGTTCGAACAGCATGTACCTGCTACAAGCTAACCACGTACCAAACTCAACACATCTACACTACAATCAGTAGGATATGCTCCTATTGCTGTAATTGTCTTACAGCAATACTCTCACACTTGGTCTGTGATACAGTAGGCGAAAAGATGTCGGTATCGAATAACGCGATAACATAGGTGAGGCAAGAAAAAACCCACTCGTCATTTCTACCAAGCCCTCAATACCGACATAGCCCCCCTAGGCCCTGTCTATCGGCAGGCGCGAATATAACAGGCAAATGAAAACATCAATTATCGACAGCACTCCAAACGAGTCTCTGGTAGGTCCGGTGTAGACTCAAACGGAATTAATCCGCGGGGTTTACACCATGCATCAAGTATGGCCGACTTGCGACATGACCAAGCTTTGACGTCAACCTCACCAACATAGCTCCAAGCAACAGTGGCTCGTCGTTTTTGCATGCAGGGTGTGCGCTCTGTCAAGGGCTCATCGGCGTAGAAATTAGTAGCTTGGGAGAACATCTCCATGTGTATTGGGTCGGCGGCCGACAGCCGAAACGTTGCTCGGTATCAGTCAAGCAACACCATGCAGCCAGAGGGGACCCCCATTTGGTCGAGGAGCTGCCACACGTTGGCCACAAACTCGCTAGGCCCTGATACAACCACCTGACGGCAGAGCACGTATTACATGACGGGGGTGTAAGCATTCGTCAGTCTTGCTGCTGGCAGCTGTCTCAACCTGACTATCCGCTGTCCGACTCGAATATCCGATAAAGCCATAGAAATACTGACCACCACTGTGCCTTTCGAGGGACTGCCGGCGAGGAGGAAAATTCCTTCTCAGGAAAGCACCTGTTCAAACGCGTTGCACGTACTCGCCATCCCCATGCCTGCATGCACGACAAAGGAGCAGCAGCACACCTTCCATCGAAAGGAGCGTAGAAAGATACGCTCGATCCAACAAACAATTTTTCACTGTCACCTGAAGTTTCCGTGAGGTCTGGTCGGTGCTTGTAAGATCCCCATCATCCTCGTCTTGTCCTTCCTTCTCGTCCGAGATGTCGCTGTCGCTTCGAAGAAGGCTTTTCACCTCTCGCTGGCGGTTATCCGCCGCTATCGGGGTCGTCAGCGCTTCGCCGAAGACCGTCTCGAGGATCTCCCTGTTCACTTTGCCTCGGACGAGGCCATCTCCCACTTGATAGGTCTGGCAATCACAGGCCAGAGCAGCGAACAAGTTGGACGGACGCGTTGTATGTTCAATGGTGACAAACCTTCTACTACGCAGGTGATGCAGATCCCAGTGGTCCCACAAAACCTTACAAGAAGCCTCCTCTCTGGCATTTGCATCTATTGTCGTCTGTTTCTTCGCACTCCTGTACATGTCGACGGACTTACGCTGCTGTCTTGAATAGGTGGACGACGGTGAGCACCTGGCGTTGAGCTGTCACTCCGCCGCAGGTTGCGCCAGGTCTGCAGCAGCATGGGGAACAACAGGCCATCGGAAGATGCACGAGCCACAGGCATCAAGTCCAACATGTGGTCTATGCGCAGGTTGAAATGATGCCGACAATATCAGTACTTTCGCAGGCTTAGAAAACAGCTCGCCTCCCATACATAAGAGGCCCAACAATTTTTTTTAATGATTTCGCTCGAAGCGCCAAAGAGAACGGGCGGAGAGTAAGAAGCAGGGGTAGATAGATATATGTGTGAGGATGGAGCCAAATAAGCCATCTAGAAATGGACACGCGGCCCACATACGTTTCGAGTACCAAATACTGTACGGAGCCCCCTCTAGTTGTGGTACACATGGCACGCCCCAGACGATCAGCAATGCCCCGCGGAGAATACTCGGGCTGCGCCCATGCGTTACAGCTGCCGGTAGGCGTCTCCTTCACGTTCGTCCGGCAACCCATCCCGCCGCGCTCGTGCGAATACCTCATTCAATCCAGCAAACATACTCATGCCCTCGACGCAGCCAGACGTTTTGTTGCGAACTGGCATGATCATCACACCTGCCATAAACCACACCAAACGACCCCCCGCTGTCGCCGTTCTTCAGAATTGGTCCTCACTGCACTTTCAGCAGGGCTACGACGAACAACGGCCGTGTGCCAAAAGGTATTCGAGGCAACCAATCAGCCCAACGAGATGCGGCTGGTGGTTTCCATCTGGTGTAGCTGCGTTTTTGAGGGTGCGAGCAACGCCGAGTGGTTGTCAGTCAAGGTCGACATGACCATCCTGCCCTCACGTTAATCAATTTGGGGCAATTCCACAAATGCACCCATGTGCCTGCTTCCGGCCGTGCTTTTCACGACTCACCTTCTTGGGCAATAGCTTGCCAACGCCAGTCGTGGTCCTTTTTTCCTTCCCATCTGCAGGCCTGCTCCCGTCACGACCCGGGGTGCGGTACGGGGGGGGCTGCTCATCCCCGTGACCAGTTCTGGACGGCGTCCTGTAAGGCGGAGGTTTCCCGGAGCTGCTGTCCAAGTTGAACCTGGCGACGGTTGTGAAAAGGTAGCGGCAGCATTCGTGGGACTGCTGCGTAGTTGTGTATCTGCCGTTTGCGACTGGGATTGCTGCCGTAACCTGGCTTTGAGGGAGGAATCTGCTAGAATCATTCCATGGCAAATCCTTGTAAGTATGAAATACACCAACGAAACAAGCGCATAAAATGGCAATCAAGCATCGAACACGGCGGCACAGAATCACACCGCGGCCACAAGGCGTTCTGGCATCTGCTCACAGGAACTTCGGAGTACAAGAGTGAGCACGCAAGGGAAGGCTGGACACGTGCAAAAACCGGAGGGCCAAGACATTATCTCGGATTTCAAGCTCCCAAGATCGGTTTCTTTGTCTTTGATACGCCTAACCTTGCAAATGGCGAAAGAGAGGTTTAGGTCGAAATTCGCAACAAACGTGAGCGCTGGGTCTGGGGAAGAGAATCGGATGACTCCAAACTCATCGTGGTGTCATACCCCATAGGAGTGAAGGGATTGAGCGTGCTGCTGTTAGAATGCGCTGGTGAAGCGAAGACGTTCCGGGCCATGTCACGCGCTTTACGGAAGGCTGCACCGGGAGCATTCCGCGCACGACCTCCTTCGCTAACGAGAGCAGTCACTTCGAGGAGTCCATCGCTCTTCTCCTGGTGTCGCAGTGTCAAGAAGCAAGGGTCGAGCGGATACAGCAACGGTTTGAAGGTATTGAGACGTTTTGCTTGTTGTGAAGTAATGCCGATGGATCGGCCATGTCCTTATCACCAAGTTTGACGATTCGAGATGTCCCCTACATATCCAGACTGATGATTGCAAGGGCAACCAACTCACTTGCATGGCCGTGATTTCATCGGTACCGTAGAAGTCGGCCTCGGTCGTGCTCTGCCACACGAGGACCAGCCGCGACCTCGTGGAGAACGTGGTGTCCCTGGGGTAATTGAAAATACGAAGGGAGGGGATCCCGCGTTAACGTGCGAGTTGCTTCATGCGACACATCCGCAACCCAGAGGCTTTCGGAAACGCCGGAATAGTGCTAGCCCTGGCCTTTGTTTACGATTTGCCGCCCACCTGGGAATACTTAGATAATTCCGAATCTGCTGGACCACTGTCGATGCCGTGGGCCGTTTGTTCGACCGTCGAAGACCACCAGTAAAGGGAAGTTCCATCGAGAGTGAGTCCACGTAGGAGAAACGAGAGACAAGGCGAAGGTTGCAATGGGGCGTCGGGTTAGGGCAGCAATCGGCTGCGGAGGGTCGTCGCCAGCATCGTGAGAGCACCTCTGGCACCCAGGTCGTTTCACGTGTCGGGCGGTGGTAGCGCGGTTGATGTCGTGGGGGGCAAATCGATGTGTACCGAAGGCGCAAGTTGTTAATTTTGCACTGACGAACACGTTCCACGAGAACATGTCGAGGAAGGAGGCGATGTCCGGCACCCTTTGCAACGCATGGGCGTGCACTAACTCCTCGGCAAGTTTCGCGTATCGCACACCAAGCTCTGAAACACGATGCAAGCGAAAGACATACGTTCTGATTGCCAAAAAACAACCATGATGGTTTGTAAGCTCCAATGGAGCGGCATTACTTGCACACGAAAGTTGGGAAAAAGTATGCACGAGACAATCCATGAGTCCGAAACTATCGTACTCACTCGGGTTGACGCCCGTGCCTGCCGCAATCATGATAACGTTGCGATAGACGGGTGGTGGGGCAAGCTTGTTGATGAGGAATGGTCCTTGCAGCTGGACGGCGGCGTTGTCCGTATCCTGGACAAGAGTTGAAGCCGACGAAAGGACGAAAAAGAAGCATGACATGGGTCGGCTACCCTCTTCATCTAACGGGAAAAAACAATGTGCTGGAGTAGCTTCTTGACACATGTTCGGATTACAACCCGTTCTATCCAGAATAGGGTGAAGTTTACGGGAGTTAATCTGGTGGCGCATCTTCATCTACGACCATGACGGAGATTTGTTGGTACCCGTTACACCCGTAGTAAAGATGCCGTTTCGTTAACATAGAAGACGATGCAACAACAGTACCGAACATCTTTGGGGTCTCCTAAATTTCTTGAACATGTATCAGGAAAAACACGCGCCTCCAATAAAAATAGCCTATGCAACGCGAAAAAGTCCCAACCATATGAATTTGGGCGGCAAAAACTATCAGCAAAAAAAGACAACTTCGCGCGAACCCCATTCACCTGTGAGAGTTTTTCTAGCAGTTTGCTCATGGCCCCGTCGTGGTACATCCTGATGCGCATCTCGATGCACAGTATGCCCTCCGTAGTCTCTCCCGCCGGTACAATCTTCCAAATAAAGGAGAAATCGTCACGAGTGCAACACGCGTTAAACCTCGGTATCGATGCTGGGCTCAAACAAGTCGAGAGCTTATTGACACACATTTCGTCGCTTGTCCTGCGGTGCAGATGTTCATGGCGTGCCCATCGATTGTGCAACAAACTTCAGGTCCAGGTCTTCTACCGAACCACTCAAAGAGCGAGATGCTTCATCGACCCCGAATATGATGGTAATTTCGTCTCGCTTGTGCATACCTTCGGCAGCTTGGCAAAGCCCTTGGTCCAGGCCACCCTTCCGCCTGGTGTGGGAGGCTCGACGTCCAGCAATCTGACAGCAAAGGCATTGTACGCCCGCTGTACTACACCCTGTTGCGGAGATGTAAACAACACCTTGGTTAGTTGCTTGTACTCGATCAAAGACAAGGCCGCTGAATAGAAAGCGAATCACACATACTCGATCGGGCAGTTGGGCTTGGACCCAAGAAGGAAAGTAACTGTAGTGCTCGAACAACACGGTTCAAAGAAGATTCTTCCATGAAGCTTCGGGCTCCGCCACTCGCTGTTTTTGGGCAAAAAATAACTGGATGCCTCACTCACTGATGCAGCAAATGCAGTCGTCAATCCGCTTGTCTACTTTCAACTTCGGGAGCTCTCTGTGATTTTCTCCATATCACACGAGGCTGCCCCCAACGACCAAAATCGATTATCTTGGTCCGTAACTCCGGCCACCCACAATATGCTTGGTTATTGAGGAACTTCCATTGATATTTCACGCACAGGAAACGCCAGGCAACCCTCATCGTTTCCTGGATGGTGGTACACAACTGCCCGCTGTAACACGGGTGGCACTCATGTGTTGCTCGAAGAACTTTGTGGAGGCAAGTATCCGTAGCGGAGTCTTGAGCATTCATACGGCAAACAGGGAAACATTCTTGGCAGACAGCCTTGCGGTTGAACGGACCCGAACACTGTTGACCTTTCAAAGTTTAGCATCGCTGCCTTGCGACGCAGAACGCAGCTCAAAGAAAATATAAAAATAAGGCCAGCACTGAAGGCATCGTCTCCAATCGTGTGGTCAGCTAGCCGGTGCAAGTAGCAATATTGCCACAATTCATCCGAAAGCAGTACAGGTCTACGGGAGTGCTGCTGCAGAGCTTCATCCTGAGATAATCCATTTCTCACCTTCCCCTCTTCCTGGGCGCGCATGTTGAAATAGCAGACTCCTGAAACCGCCTGTGCCTGTTGCACCGGAAACAATGGGGCAAAGGGTGTTGATTCGACATGTACTTCGCCGAAGGCAAGCTTCCAAACCACCTGAGCCGTGCATGAACTTTCTCTTGGCCAGGGGCATGCTCAACATGAATACCGCGCAAGAGAGCATCAGAGACCGTATACGTATGTCTTGCAAGAAAAAACGACACCAGCGCAAAAGGCCATGGAGAAAAGCGCATTTTTTTTGTCACATGTTGATGGGATTCGACGCCGTTTGGTTCGCAAACGGCAGGACTTGATAGTCCGACCCCACACATGTCATGCGTGTCGTACTCAAAGGCATGCGTTCGACAGACCCTAATATTATAGTCGATTTCTCCATACTGTTGTCGATTATCTGTCCATAGACAGGCTCGACGACCGTACCTTCGAGCGTCTTTGCGCTAGCGGGTCGGCTCTTCAGAGGGCACAGGGAGCGGCTGAAACAAATTCTGCCTTGGCGGGCGTGACCTCGTATAGTAAGCATGCCGGAGGGGAGCTTGGACGCTAAACATAAAAGACTGCACGTCCGCTTGAAGGGAAACGAAGGTGTGCATACCTGGGCTTGTCCGTTGGCGGGACACGAGAAAATGTATCGGTAGACCGGGCGCTTGCTGGGCAAGTGACCACGGCCCACGGCACTGGCGGCTCCCATCCTCTCTCGGAAGAGCAGGGGGCATACTTGAAACCGCTCGAACAAGTCCGTGTTGCTTCCCAGAACGCCTTCCTTGTCATCGACGCGCTGAGGCTTTGAAACATTACAAATACAATCGTTTCAGTTATGAAAGACAAAACACATGGGTAACGTCAGCCTTCAACTTGAATGGCAGGTGCAAATAACCTGCGGGCGTTTCTCTCGAGCAACGCCGCGTGTTCCCACGCGGATTTTTCCACACGATGTGTTGGCTAAACGTCGGGGGGGAAGCCGCCGCAGAACCAGCGGGGCAATCTGAATGTACAACTACATCACCATTCATCATCCTTGACTGCCCTACATTTGATAGGGATCAGAGTGCGACTACAGTCAATGAAACCGAAAACAAGAGCGACTGGGAGACTTACAGCGTCGATCTCTTTGGGCTGGTTGCCGAAGCGGCTTGCCGAGCTACTCGTCGCCACCAAATTCGTGGGGCGCCTGGTTGGAGCGGGAATGCATGCCGGAATAGCCGCCAAGTCGTTCAGCCGCATCGCCTTGGTTGCCTGGAAAAGACGTTGCAGAGCATGTTTCCGTGCCAACCCCCACGGCCGGGTCGGCCGCGTGCAAACGGGTAAATAACTAGTTCGTTCCATGTGTTATTGGAAAAAATCAACATCAATTCGTGGGCGATAGCTGCGTCTGCCAGTATATGTCACAGGGACCTAGTTGCTGCCCCCCCCCTCACGCACTGGTCGTCGAAATAGAAACACGTCAACAACTGTTTTCGATACGCGTTTCCTAGATTTTCACCCATAAGACTTAATTGTCGCGTAAGCACCTACGGAATGTGAACAATGGGCTGGGCGTATTCAGCTTCCCGTCGGCTCACAACATCCCAGTCACAATAATAGAAAACGATAAACACGCAGATCTTCCGAGACATGAGTCGGCCATATGCACTTCTCAGTCTCTGCTGTCCAATGATCAACGATCCATAACGTAGATTCGTGACTTACCAGATTGTCGTCGCCCAGGGCCAACCGGTTGGTCAGCATTACCGCCCTGCCCGCGACACGGATCTTGCGGTTGTTGGTGCCAGAACAGGCAGGATCTCCCGTCGAGGGTTCGACTTTCTCTTCTGCCTCCTCCTGCTCCTGTTGATCTTCCAGGGCTGCCGCAGGTTCCCCGACGTCCTTCTCCTCGATGTAGCCGACTACTAGCGACCGAATGATTCGCCATGCACTCTGCCGGTCAGAAGGCACGGCAAGGTGTGGGCGAAACAGGTGAGCGAGAGGGCCCACTTCTTGGTTGGCGACAAAAATACCTTCTACTTCGTCCAAGAGATATCGCAGCATCCGACCCCCTTGCGCCATGAACAAGACATCACTGCCGGGATAGAGGGAGGCGAAGGTGGTCGCTTGGTGGATGTTTTGCTATAGGCTTGGTCTCACGCTCTGGTGGACATTTGGTGCAATGATCGAGTCGGTTCGTAGTGCTTCGCCACGTACAGCATCTTCTGGTGCTGTTGGGTGGGGGGTAACACAACGACGCACCTGACGCTAAGCTTGTACGCACATTCAAGACCAGGGTACCCTGGCTTTGTCAAGCGCTCACTTACCCCGGTGTGCACGTGGGGCGGGAAGGACATGGCATGCCCCACGGAGTTCTCTTGTCCTAACAGCTCCTGTGTAACGTCCGTTCCCAGGGCGTTCAGGATGAGTCGCCTGCCCCCTGGGTGCCTCTGTGCGAAGTCGGACACATCCAGAACTGCCTCATCCACCATCAACCAGGTCTGGCCGCTCAGCACCTGGCCGGAAAGAGGTGGTCACGAAGGCAGGTGGGCTTCGGGCTCCAAGAGATATGTGCACCACACAGGGTATGTAGTGGTAGAGCTGGGGTCCGTATGAAATCCCTAAGGAAAGTTTCGATACTGGACGATGGGATCGTTTCAAGTCATTGCGCGTCTCGAAAGCTCAAAGACAAGCATGCTGTGGGTAGCATTGGTCAAGGGGCTTTCTACCATCTTGTTTGGAACGATGGGATGGGTTTCGCTCTTGAGGTTCATTGCGTCGCGACATACACCGAAACAATTTTGGTAGGGCACGACACGCGACACCGCGATAAATATCCCCACGTACGGCCCTTGTTATAGCCGGGCGCACTGTGAAACCCTTCTTCGCAAACTTGTTACCATTGTCGATGTCTCAACATGTTCATCGGAATCAAACCAACTCTTCGAATCATACACCCAGCGATTCGAAGCACGCCTCCCAATACAACCGCACGTCACACTTCCATCGTCATCGCTCACCTTGTCATTGAACGCCGATATGCTGTATATTGGCAGGTCTAAAGTCCTCGGAATTAGCCGGCCACCATTGTTGCGAATAGATGTGTCGTGCAGCTCGTTGACAATGGACACAACGCCACACACGTTAGCAGCTCCCTTCTTGAAGAACCGGTGGTACTGCTTTTGTGTCTCTAGGATAAGAAAGCTGCCCGCGATGAGCGCAAACCAGGCTGGGAACAAGATGTCCTTGACCCAACCGAAGCTGCCGAGCTGTTAGACGGTCGAATCAGGGGCAACAGAACTTCAGCAGGAGTTGAGTGAAGTTGAAAGTGCTTGTGACCCCACCAGCATGATCCGATAGGAGATTGTTACAATATCCATGAATGCCAAAAAGGCAAACAAAAATGTGCTTGACACGCTTCTACGATACTGAAGCAGGTGAATATTTCCAGCGAACGAGGTCGCTGCCATGTCCTTTGCTCTTGTACGTAATCGCAGTACCTCTCAACGACACAAGTTGTCCCACACACCCTAGAATACCATTGGAGCATACCCCGGCATTCTGGGAACACCCAAAGTCGCCGCAGGTATTTCACTGCAGGTACAAGGAGGGCGTCTTGCACTGTTGGTGACGGCGGTTGACGAGTCGCTCCCATGGCTTCACCTGCAAGTCAAGGCCATCGCCTGCTGAGAAAATGAGCTCATCGTCCGAGGACACGAGCTCCAGCCCTCGGTAGCACTGCACCACGCCGGCTGCGTATGCGAACCGTCCAGCCCAGATGTGGAAGAACTTGTTGAACTGTGCAAGTTAGTAAGGAGAAGTTTCGACTTGTTGCCAATGCCCTCCAACGTGTCTAACGTTGCCTAGCCTTGGTGTGGTATTCAGAAGAAAAGGGCGTATCTTCAAGCACTGCAGCAAGGCCGATCTGACTAGCAAAAGCATCAGTCGAACCGTACGGCGGCTGCCAGAAACTTGACAGATTCTCCTCCAACAAGGTACCCGACTAGTCCGAGTCGATCTAACTACGCAGCAGAATAGCCTCGACGTTGTTGGTGTGCGCAATCGCATCAGGCTCGACGCGTTGAACCAAAATTGTGCACACGCCTTGCGTACAACCGCCATGTCGTGTTCATCTCACCCTGTGGAAGAGAGAAAAGTTCGAGTGTTTGGCCTCTAACCCCTTGGTCCTCATCCAGCCCGTAAAGATCTGCATTGCTACCGCGGCGATCATGTAGTACCCCCAGCGTGCGTGTGCTTCCGAGGTCCTGCCCCTTGAAGCAAACACTGCGGTGATCCCGAGGGGGAGCACGGCTTCGGAGGCAACGATCATGATTTCCTCGTGCATCTCGTACCACTCACGTCCAGCCCACTTAATCGCGTCGCCCTTGCGGTACCTGGGATGATGTGTACGGCATGATGAATAACATTCGGACAAGAGTGGTCTCAGTGAAAATAGTTGTGCGTGAGGCAACCGCCCCCCGTGGTTTTCAGTTCGAGAGCACGCGCGATACAACTACAGCTGAGCGATCGGTACGCCGGGGAAACACGCCATGATTGGGTAAGTGGTGCATATGTTGTATGGCGGGTCAGTCCCTAATATGCAAGCTATAAATGTGTTCGACCTGAGTTGTCTTGCCCAGTCACCCAATACTGCCCACTCCCGGCTGGAAAGGTGATGTTGCAGTTCACCTAGCCAGCTACGAGAACGGGAAGATTTGGATGCTATGGCATGCTTTCAGGTCGCGATCTGGCCTCAGACAGTGACTACCACAAAATCAAAGGCAGGTAAATCGTATCGATACAGCTCACCTCGCGTAGTAGATACCCCACGGTGCGATGATCATCCACGCGATAAGCATCAGCGCGCCGTGCAACGAAACGAAGCTGGTCTCGCCGTCGCACTGAGTGTCTACGTCTCCCGTGACGAAGTTTATCGTGGCCGCTCCACGATTGGTGTTGGGATGTTGGCCCACGCCCTCTCCCTTCTTGAACGAGTAGATGACGAGGGTGTCTGCTTCGTTTTCGATATCCTATAAGCGACGAACATACAGCATGCGGGGCGACATGCATGCCGCAAAACGGATCTCGTTTGTACTGACATCAAAACGTTCATGCATGCAGGTTGACATAGGCCGGGCACGCTCTTCCTTACATCGGCGATGTATTCACAGCGGCCGCATCACTGGCGGTAGGTAGGGAATACCGGAACCCGCGTTACGAACTCCCCAACAGACAAGACGGTCATCAACGGGCGCGTCAACACAAAGGATAAAACGCACAGCAGGTGTAGTACCCACCTCAAAGAGGTCGTAGTCTTCTGCATCCAGCGTCGCCCGTTCCCTCGAGAACTTCACTGTAGTCCAGCCTCCCCCCGTCGTTACATTGGTAACTTCGAGGCCCAATTGAAAAGTGTCCGGCTGCGGCTCCGATCGCCCTCCAGTGGGAGACCGGTCAGTGCATTCGGCACCGCCCGTTGAGAAGACCTCACAGATAATGAAATCCTTTGGAGGGCACCATATGCATCAACACACCAGTGGTGAGCGTTAGCGGAGCAGGCGGCGGCAAGTAGACTATTGTGTTGAACAGGATGCTGCAAGACGTGATTAGAGAGCTGCCGCGCGCTGGTAGACAACCTGATTGATGACTTCGTACTTCAGGCTATTTCCCATCGTGCACGGAGTACGATTGAGTGTACGGTCGTCAAAGAGACGAAAGTCCGTTGTCGGAAAAATCGCAAACACCGACGTAATGACCAGACAATGCCGTGTGCGTGTTATGGGACCCATCGTTGATTTTCCACCCATCGGCGTTATGGCACCGGGGGGCGCAAAAATATCGAGAACTGCGTGATATGATTGCATTTCCGCACCGGTGTCTGTGTAACGCACCCGGTGCGATATCAACGAAATAAAATCTGCTTAGGACGTATATTTGTGTGCTTCCGAAAGGTACCAGGCCACGTGTCGAACTGCATGTAGCGAACGGCTGAGAGGGTCCGATAGGTAAAAATTGGGGCGCCATGCATGTATGTATGTATCCGTCGAGGTGTGCGGTAGAAATGATTCATGTTTTTTTCTACGGTTATCCGTACATCGAATGCACTCACTCACTCAGCCAAGCACACAGAACACATCCCGCACCTCCAACCAACCAAACAAGAAGGAGTTTGTAAACGGCACTACAATTGTACCGGTACCGTGCTCCTTGAGGCAGACAAAGACAGATGGAAGCATCAGCCAAAAAATGAGGGGCTTGCGACCAACAAAGAGGTTGAAAGAAAAACGATACCGTACCGCAATAATTTCCCCACAGCGTCTGTTATATTTGGCACATGCTACTACCCCAAACTCGCATCAGCCGCTTGATATTTGTTAAGTACCGTAACACGCAAAATTTTGGTACTCGTACCAGGAAACGGCTGTACTCGTTTCTTGAGTATCGCACCTATCGATGTCATCGCACCGGGGTGCGTTCACTCAGCACCGTGAAATGGCCACTCACGTGATTTTTTCCGTATCGCACCCATGGGTGTCATCACACCGGGGGTGCGTTGGAAATCTAGAACTAAATAATTCCATTTCCGCACAGGTATCGCTGGTATGGCACCCATCGGCATTATGGCACCGGGGTGCTATTAAAACCAAAATGGGAATAATTTAAAAAACTATCGCATTTCGGTGCCATAACACGGACAATTACGGTATTCATGTCGAAACCAGGGTTGACCTGGCCGTTTTGGGGAGGCACGTCGCACGACATGTGGGTAGGTTTGGCTTGCCTCCACGACACACCGACAAAACGGGGAGCATCAAACATCCGTGTACATCCCGGACGGGAAAAAATGCCCTCCCGCTTGGAAAACAAACCTATTTGCGCAGAATTTCTGTCAATCCCTGCAGTCGACTTCATTGCACAGCACTGATTTTCAGCCACGACATGAAACACAACGGCAACGACATGTGCTGATCTCAACACTGACAAACGCCTCGTTCGGTTGTGACATGAAAATAGGTTCCCTCTGAAGAACAGACACATTGGCCGAGGTACCCTTTCAAAGCTTTGACGATATCCCGGCACGATTACGGGGAGGACGGGGCGAGCAGCTCAACGGGGTGAGGGGGGGGATGATGGCAGCGACTTATGTTCAGACATTATCGACATGTATGTTGCAGCCTGCTTCTCCCACCTGGGCGTCCGTCATGGACAAGCCTCCAAAGCCGATTCCTATCATCCCGCTGTCGCCGATGCCCAGGACACTCAAAGAAATCAGTAGTGTTTCATCTTCCACCTGTACAAGGATGAGGGTTTCAAGCGGTACATGGCCGAGGGAGTCGCGCCCAGAGCTCCTCATTCGCTATGACTGACGCTTCTTAGCAACCTGGAGAAAATCCGCTGGAAAGTACACTGTAAAGCAACCGACGAACAGGAAACAGGTGAACCCCTTTCGCGACGATGACGACAGCTTGCCAAAAAATGGCGGAGAATTTCCTCTGCGTAACCATCCCCATCATCATAAGGTACTCTGGTCAAGTATGGGTGGTCGACACATAAAGGTGAAGCCCCGGCCACGACGTCGCGTACCTCCCACGATATGCCGTAGCGCTCAGCCAACGAGACCCCCGATGTACCCGTGGCTTCGCATTGCCCGGTGCAAACAGTGACTTCCGGCACCGTGAACCCCGACTCCGGCAAGGCGGTCAAGCCGAGCGTGCGGTTGAGTAGCTGCGAGATAGACACGAGTGACACGTTCTCGATCGGCCTCGAGTGAAGGTGGTGGTACCGGTCCCCGAAGAGAGATCTGTATAACTGGTCCACCCATGCGGTATGCAGCAGGTAGCCGAATATACCACCTAGGCTCGCCTCCTTATCCTCCGCCAAGGCTCCTGTGCACGCGTCGAGGTTGTCGATTTCTCCACCGTACGCAGCATCTAGGAGTTGCACCACGTCTCCATCCGACGATACATCTGAAAAGTCCGTGGCTTCCGGAAGACCATACGCCTGTTGTGGCGCGCGCGAACGCCGACAGCAAGTGTTCCGAAAAAGTCATTTCCCCCCGCAGTACTACAGGGAACACGTGTTTTGGGTGGGAGGGCTTCTTTGCGGCACTGACGACTTGGGTTTGCACTACAACGTTTCCCCCCGGTCGATGCGCGAGCCATTCTGCCCTTTGTGTGGTAGTCAGGTCCTCGACACAGGGGATAGTCAAGATCCCACGGACGGACGGGTACGACCGAGCGCTCACTCTTCACCCTCACCTTGGCTGTTGCAAACGGCGAGGTTGGTGGGACCGGTGCCTCACAAACGTTTTGAGCAAAATTAGGACTCACCCCCCGGACGTCGTTGTACGATGGCACCCCATGATCACGGCCCCGCTGCACCATGTCCACAGGGAGTTTGAACAGCGGCGAGGCGTTCGACACCGCCGAAGCGTAGTGCGCCCCCACCGCCATCGCAGGCGACAAAACCGCCCCACGCAGAATGTCCCCGATCGCGCTGTGCTCGAACAGGCCCGTGATATCTTCCGCCGCAACGGTGAGCTCAAGGTGGTCGTAGTCAGTGGCAACATACCCCTCGCTCACAATGCGGAGGGTAGAAGGCAGCGCCGACTCGAACGCGGCGGTCATGGCCACCGTCACGAAGACGTCGGCGGACGGGTCCACGGTGTCGTTGTAGTAGTCGAAAGTGAACAACAGCTCCCTCCGCTGTTCTGGGGATAGTCTTCGTCTGCCGCCGTCATCGTCATCTTGGTACACGGTCCAATCGCCGATGCTTCTTCCCATGAGTAGAATCATAAGCTCGTCTTCAGTTATGTGCTGGAATGTTGCAATGGTCCAGCCTCGACAAGCCTGGTAAATATCCTGCATGGCCCAAAAGGGGATCGTTGTGTGCGTACAAGAGGGTTCGTCCTACCTGGTACTGCGAACGAAACTCTGAAAGAGAGGAATCAGCGGTTCTTTTTGCAAAGTGTTCGTGGGCTTTGTTTAAGGGGCAATACTCAGCATTCAACCGCAATACTGGCGATTTCAGACGGGGGCTTGCTGGGTCGTACAGTTGCTACTCTATCTGGCGGTCTTCGTCGAAAACGTACTATGGGCTTTCCAATGTTGTCATCGACACGATTCGTCAGTGGGGCATGGCCACATCATCTGATACGACCACAAGGAACAACTGACCACCGCCACTGTTGACAATAGTTGCTGTTAGGAATGGAGGGAGGGGTGGGTAAGGCAACTCACATCACACCACTTTCTCGGAAAAAATCGCCGTGGCACCAATTGCTTCACAGACAACCGCCCTATCCAGGCTCAAAGCCAACATGACGGCGCTCTATCACACCGCGGCAAACAAGCAATCACATGTCACTCGGACGACCGCATGGTTCCTCAGAAGAGGCTGTCTCTAGCAGGACTAACCTCATCGCCCGTGTAGTTCTCGCCGGGCGCGACGTCAACGCAGCAGCGGTTGTGCTCGAGAAGGAGAACGACGTGAAGAGCGAACGTCAGTGGAAATCTCGCCGTACGTTGATCCGCGATCTACCGTCGGTGACAAGGTGGTAGCGGCAAGATGAAGAACACTTGGCGGTCAATAGAGGGGGTAGCTGGCTAGCAAATTATCGGTGGATGGCCCCCGGCAATAGAATAACGTCGGTACGTCTTATTCACCGCAGCGCCGATGTATTTCGTTCCTCGTCGCAGACACGACGCATAGGCCATGTTGGTTCTGGCGACTTGGATAATCTTCTGCAGCGCGCTCGACACTGCTGTTCGAGACTTCTACTAGTACACGGGCCTGGTCAACCTACCAACCAAGTCCCGTCGTCGTTCTTGATGGGCATGTTGTCATCTGCCATACTCAGCATTCCGTCTTCAAAGGTACGAAGTGCATCGGCAGCGTCCTCGCTCCTTCCATAGACGAAGTCCAGGTCGATAAACGAGGACGCATAATTGATCGGGTTTCGCACAGAATCAGTCACCGTAGCTTCGGATCTGAAAAAAGGGATTGGATCAGATGCCTCCCCCAGAGGGCACCAAACATCGACGGAGCCCCCTCCGTCATCGCAAGCGATATCGAAGGGTTCCGAGCTGTTGTCGACGGTGTAGGACAAATCGAGAAGCAGCAGCTGTCCCCAAGCGATGGCAACCGCGTTCATGTCAGAAACGGATGGTGGAGACGACAGAAATACATCCGTCATCAGCTCCCTGTCAGCGGTTGTGGGACAAAAGTGGTGGGTGGAGCAGAGAAGGGGTGGTAATGGTTGGGTGAGGTGCAAATAGCGGAGAAATGCCACGACGCCTTCCAAACCGAACGCCGAGTTAGGGTAGGGCCAACAAACCAAAGTTAGAAACAACTGGTTCTTGGCATGACACCTCACATGAAACAAAATACTCTTACGGCCGTACTTGCCTCGCAGTCGGCCTAAATTCCTCCAGCGGGGTGAATGCAGCGTCCGCATATAAATCAGTAGCTTCCGCACGGATCTGCAAAATAGGCCGCGGGGAAATTTCAAGAGAAGGCAGGTGCAGCCGAACGCGAGGTGGGTAGGTAGAAGGACCATGACTTGGCTAGATTCGGAAACAGGGTTGACAAACCCCAACCTCTGGTAATGTTCCTCTCGAGGAGGAGCACGATGATCATCGATCCCTGCAATGTGCAACTCTAGGATAGACATGCGATAACAAGGGGCAAATGTGGTAGGTTATGGACGCATTGTTGTTGATTGTCGCCGCACCTGGGTTGTCCCTGCAGCGCCCCAAGTAGGATTGTCTTCATTGTTTCCAGTGCCGTCGTAACTTCTCGCCGTGAATATTGCCTCGTCTACGGCCCCTGCCCCCGCTAGGAAAAACACCACGCCGTGGTGCAAGCGCATCCTAGTACCGAAAAAAGATATTCGGGGAAAACGGAGCGGTTGGTTGTCGTGCAGGCAGACGCTTTACACCTGCTAGGGGGGAGTGACAGAAAGCTTGGAGAAACTCGTGCTCCGCCCAGCGAGCCGACTGAGAGTGGGAGAATCTCTGCGGGGTATATAATGTTGTGATCGTCAAGTTTTTTTTTTTCGGGATTTCCGTGCTGCAATTGCGTGTCCTATGGCACATGGTTTGCCTCCGCTGACCCCGGGGACGGTGAGCTATCACCCCCGGAATCTTGCAGACACTTCTCCGTACCAACAACATCTCATTAACACGGTCTTCTCAAATAAAAAACCATGCGTGTGTTTAAAGCGGGGTCGACTGTACCCATTCGAGATAATATGATAGTGGAAGGGGATGTGTTGAAGTCTTTACAGCAGTGAGTGGGAAGAAAACCGGTTGGATACCGGGCCTATTTATGGTCTATTTAAGCCGTTACACTGAAATTATCAGTGGTACCAGCAGCTGTTAAATGACAAAAACACCACATGTATGTCACCTCCACCAAGCACGTTTTTCTGGTGCGAAAAAGCTAGGCACTGGGGATGCCACTGCAGTCATTTCGGCCAATAAATAGACTGGATCTTCCTAATCCGTTTGTTTGAGGCAAAGCAGAGAGCGCACCCCACACAAGCACGCGAAAAGCTTGTTGCCTGCATTAGCCGGCCAGCTGAAAGTGGGCTGTAAGTTGGCCTGATCCTACTACGGTAGCCTTCGTCACACAAAACCCCAAGCAAAACGGTAATTTGAAGAAGCAACGAGCACGGCGTGTAGATGGCTCTCTCTGAGAAACATCTCTGACAAAAATGGCAAAAGTCGTCAAGTTGCCTGTAAACAAGCACGTACAGCAGCAAGCATCCCGATATAGTGGCACCTACGGGCAGACGATCATTATGCCATTGTTCAGGGCAGTACCACTATTCCGTTATCGTGGCATTTACCACTATTGACACCCGAAGCGTGGTGTGCTTTTTCCACTATTGAAGAGAAAAGCTGTGCACCCTACCGACAGTTGTTCATTGAATGTGTAGGGTTTGTGTCGCGTGAGTGTGTTGGGCGCGGCGGTACCACTAGCCTATCTACGTTGCCCCTTTCTTTGTGGTTCGGCATCTCATAACGACATACAAACGAAATTCAGCAGTCAGTTTGTCAACAACACGAATGACAACACCCCGATCTCGGCCCACCACGTGGAACACAATACTTGCTTGCCCAAGCGATTGCGATACGTTCTGTAGTCACAAACTGCATATATTTACGAGTAGACTAAGTAGACAGCTTGATAAAACTAGGCAAACCACACAGCAGCAGTAGATTCACGCAAATATACATTTTTCCGGCGGGCCCCATGCCGGATGGGGTTCAACACAACAAACAGAACACATAGACAACAAGTGCACGACCCCGACTGGAGCAACCATGTAAACGTCGAACACCCCCGCCCCCCCCCCCCGGGTGCATCAGTCCAGCCCGTCACAGTGCTGTGTGTGGATTGGTGCGCAGTGCGGAAGAGGTGTGCGGCCACGAGTTTGAAATTGCCACTATTGGGGGGCTGAGATGCCCAAAATACCACAGTGCTAGGCAACAGCGTGATGGATCCATGACCAGGCTTGTTTCTTTTTTGTTTCAACACAAAAAGAAGACATGTTGGCCTGTACACAACAAAATCGCAAACATGGGCGTGAAAGGGGATCATACGCCAAGCAACCTCTGACCTCCCATGTCAAGAGTGAAGCTAAAACTTCGTGGCTTCCACCTCTGACAATGTTTTTCCGTCTGTGGCCGCGTAGTTTGGTTATCTGTTGAGACTGTCGCTACGTTTGACTCTGCATCTAAAACTGCAGGACAGCGAGATAGCGCGATGAGAGACCATGTGCATTACAACCGTATGTCCGCAAGAGTCAACTTTATCGAACAAGTTGTTTGTCCTTTGCCGCCGTCTCGCGCGTTCGTTTTGCTCCTTGGAACCCTCGCCGTTTCGATTCATGATATCTGGCGATGTGAGTGAGAGCAACCTCACCCAGGCGGACTTCAGTGAGTAAGGGTGACAGCCTTCAAGGTTCTACCATCACGTGTAACTCAAGAGGCCAAGCACACCACACCTTTTCTTTCACTCAAAATTTGTTGAAGATTTGTTTTTACTTGATTGATTATGCACGCGTGGCTGCACGCGTCGCTGCACACGGGAGCTAAGCGTGTTTGCGAGCACTGCCGCAGCCGGCGTGCCATGTTGCCTTTTTCGGCTTCTGACGTACTACACCGAAGATCCGGCCCGTTCGTGCTCGGACAACGAGAAAGATGTCGGGCTCGCTCGTTTCGCAAGCAAAGTTTGGCACCTCCTACATGTACATACGTAGTACCCAGTCCCTCCGCAAAAAAATGTCGCAATAATGTTTGTCAGCCATTGGTCGAGGGGCTCGACTACAGTCCCTCCAAATACTCTGAGCTTCTTGCCAGACAAAGGGTGACTTGGCTTCCGCATGAAAAGTGTCCCCAAAACACGTGTGGACACTTTTCATTGAAGCCAAGTCTTTGAATTTCCAGTACAAGACGATGTACAGTATTACGATCTAGGGGGCAGGCGGGTTGAGAGATGTGTACAGGAAGTCAGGGGCCCAGGAGAGTAGTCACACAGCACATCACGCAGCGTACCACCTCACTCAGCCAAGCGCGATAGACCAAGGGTTCTTACGTGCGTTGCACACAGCGGGGCCTAGGGTGACTACGGCAGCGCGGTAAATAGGCATTTGAGTGCTGTGTCCCCAAAGCGTCTCCATTTGGGCTTACAGTACTGTACGAGGATCTTAAGCAAGGACGGACAGCAGTAAACACAGTTGGGAACCAGCAAGTGTTTTTTCCTTGATTCTTGAATGACCTAAGCGGTAAGAACTCGAATGCCTTCCCTTCTAGTCTCGCGTCTCGCTCGCGTTGTGTGCGTGCGTGGGTGTTTCAGACCAGATCGCCGACTTGAATTGGACAGCGAGACCCAAAAATAGCTCCCGTGATCCACAGGTCACAGGCCACGCCGTAGCCCGGCACCCATCTATTATTATTGCCAAAGGGATATACATTGAACCTCTTGTTCTTTCGAAACGTTGAGTACTGCGGCCACAGCAGTTGTTGTATCGGGAAGCACCCAAAGGGGAGGGAGTCTGACCGTTCCTTTTTGTAGTCTAGTGTGAATGCTAGGGAACAACTTTTTTTCGTACAATTCACCCGCGGTATTTCCCATCTATATTCCGTGCTCGTTACTGCTTCAGTGTACAGAACGGGCCCGCAATAAAGAAAATCTGCAGAGAAAAAAAAGCTCAAATATATATAAAACATGAGAAAAAAGGGCAAACAAACACAGCTCAATCTCGGCCACAACAAACTAACGTCCCAATAAGAAACATGATCGTGCGATACTCCCATAACATAATAAGAAACAAGCGGTAGCTGAGGGGAACGTGTCCAACAAGAAACGTCCCACTCCCACCCGTTACCTAGCCCATGTAGGAGAAATCTTTTGGTAGCGGAGACTGGTTATTTTCGCGGCGCCCCCGCGCCCCAACACCGCCGCGCGGCCGCGGACTCCACCCCCCACTGCCGCTTGGGCGTTCGCGAACTTTCTCCGTGCCATGTAGGGGCGCTTTTTGTTTTTGTTTTTGGGGGACGTTGCCATGACGTTTTCCCCCTTCCCGCCTTTGTTTTCTCGTAATTCGCAGACCGGACTTCTACGTGTTTATTTGTGTTGTTCTTTGTGCACACAGGGACAGGTTGTTCAGCATACGGGAAAATAAAAAGACACAAGGCATCCTCTGTACAATTGTTGTTGAGACATTTCCTACAAGCTTCGGAGGGTACAACAGCTTGCTGGTTGATTGGAATGCAACATACCGCATAGGAACTACTCCCCGGCTGTCCACCCTATGGTGCTTCTTCTTCCTCTACCTTCATGTGACTGCTGCAATACGACGCACAGACCCGGCCAAGAAGATTTCTGCAACACAACCTTTAGTCCCATGAAATGGCGCTTTTTCCCGGTTTAACGACCGCTCGTGAGGCTCCCGGTTGAGCGACTGCCCGTAGTAGCGACCATATTTCGTTATGACACTAGGGGTCGCTAAACCGGGGCCCCCACGGTACCAACTGTCGTAATTGTGCGTGTTATGGCACCCATCGTTGATTTCGCACCCATCGGTGATATGGCACCGGGGTGCGCAAAAATATCGAGAACTGCATGATTTAATTGCATTTCCGCACCGGTATCGGTGTTAACGCACCCGGTGCGACATCAACGATTTAAAACCTGCTTTGGGCGTAAAATTGCGTGCTTCCGCAAGATACCGGTATCCTCCGGCCACGTGTCGAACTGTATGTTAAGATTTGCTGAGAGGGTCCGGTAGGTACCAATTGCCATTTTTCATGTCTGTATATCGTACCGTCGAGATGCGGTATAAAGGACTCATGTTTTCTACGGCAATCTGTACATCGAATGCACTCAGTCACTCAATCAAGCACACAGAATACATCCCCCACGACCAACCAACCGAACAAGAAGGAGTTCGTCAATGCTACTACAATTGTACCGGTAACATCCCCTATTGAGGCAAACAAAGACAGATGGAAACACCCGCCAACAATTGAAGGGCTTGCCACCAACAAAGAAGAGGCTGGAAGAAAATGATCCCATACCGCATACCTTCCCAGCAGGGAGCCACAGCACCACAGCGTCTGTCTACAATAGCGCCCGCAGTTATTGTCTTCACATTAAAAACCGTTCCGTTCTCTCTGCTCAGAACCTTCTGCTGTCCGTACTAGTCGAACACTTGACGGGGTCGATTCCCGTGGTTACAGGCTAACTTACCCAAAAAAGGCATA